AATATGCATCCACTACAGACACACACACACACACACACACACACACACACAAACCTATGCCTATATATATGTATATATCAGTAATGGTGATAATCATTGAGACAAAATTCAATATTTGATGAATAGAGGTATATATGACACAGGTCAAAAGGATTAAATAAATAGAAAAATATACTTTTTTTTGCCTTTAGCTATTCCTCCTTCCACAGACAAATTACTTCTTTCAGAAGGGCTTTTTATTTGCCGTTTTGAGCATCACCGTTGCCTGCAAAAAAAGTGAATAGCACCAAGAGAATAAACACTGCTGCTATTCCCCCAACGACAAGCTTTCCTTTCATGGTGTTCCACCACAACTGGTTCCGAAGCTCACGGCTACTGCGTTGAAAGCCCTGCGCCTGATATTGTAGATCCTCAGTAGCCTGAACGATATCGTCGATCTTCTGTCCTCGTTGGAGAACCCGCTCAACATTGTCGAGGGCCAGATTCTTCACCTCGTCTACAGCCTGCTTCACGCGGCGAACCTTATCCTCGCCACCAGACTCGCTACTCATCTTGACCAGCACGTCACGGGCGGGTTTCGAGAACATATCAGCCATTCTCGGAGTCAATTTACTTGTGTCTTCCACAAACATCTTATGGAAGAGTGCGGTAAGCTCGTCAAGGGTGCTTTGCGCGTGGCGGCGACCCACGTCTTTTCCACAAATAAGGGCGAAACCCAACGCCTCGTCTGTTGTGATATGGTAGGACAGCTGCACTTCCTTTGTGGGGTCTAGGTCAGACGTGACATTGAGAAAGGAGGATGTTCGGAAGTGTGGCGCCACGCACTTGCTCACTACCTCTGCCCACACTGTCCCTGGGATGGAGAAGTTTTCTGTTGGTACACCCGAAATCTTGCACAGAATCATGCGGTCCGAGATGCGCACGACGACGCCGCCGTATAACTTATTATCCCTAGTTGGATCCATCTTTTTGTTGAATAATTAGGAGAAAAGTGACGGTGCGCTATTTGCCGTGGGAACTCGGATTTAAAGTGAAATGCGCAATCGAGAGAAGGAATGGAATCAAAAGGTTATATATAGATATATATGTATATACAGAGCTATGACTCTTTCATAGAAAAGCTTCTGATTGTTAAAAAATAGCACACAAAACAAATCGATGCAGGAATTCACAAATCAGCTGTTTTTACTCGAAAAGTGAAAACTAGGCTTTTCATGAAGCCGCAAAGTTTGAAATATAACATACTAAGAGTTTTCTTTCTAATTCCGAGTACTTAAAGTTACTTATGTAACCCAACATCTTGTCGTTGATTTTCATGTAGAACTTATTGTTTTCATAATTTTGACGCAACTTACGTCTATCTATGCAAATTCCAAACTTAGGTATAGATGACAGACAAGATTGATAATAAAAGATAATGTCATGTGAAATTTATCATTCCACAATGAGGGGCTTTCTGCACATGGGGCAGGTGTACTTTCGTTCCTCCAACCACTTCCTCAGGCACGTTTGATGATAATAGTGGCCACAGAAGAGCTTTACGATACATTCTGTGGATCCCAATATTTCTACAAGGCAGATTGAACAGGGGAGAATATCCGCTGTTAAATCTTCATGCTGACTATGACCTTTGACCTCATCCCTGCTATGCTTATTTGAGCCTGTACTGGCCAAGGGATTTTCAGGCCTTGCTGCTAACACAGAGGTACCGTTTTCCATGCAGCCACTAGGATGTTCACTCTCGACATAGCAGCCAGGATCTACACTATAGTCATTTTTCTTCTTAACATGACTGTCAACGAAATTTTGAACTTCCTCTGGCGGGAGTCCAGACTTGAAGGTGGTGAGGACATGTAAGATTTCGTTCGTGGTAAAGTCGCAGCACCCTTCCGGTAACTCCAACTGTGAGCTTTCTCCATCAGAAACGGGGTTTAATATGCTGTTATTGGCTAAATCTGAAAAGCGTATCTGGTTACCATCTGCTGCCATCGTTATAAGTGCCACTAAACTAGGTACTAGGGAGTAGCAGCTCATACAATAAAGTCCCCTCTCTATACTATGATCACTGCGAGTTGTGAAACTTGAGATCGATTCTGTTATGCGTCCGCAATTGGGACAATATCCACGTAATGTAGAGTTCGAAATGTTCATATTATGATTCAATATATCACTTCTCTGTGTGACTTCCTTAGTATACAATCTTTTTCGCTCTTTCAACTATACTAATGGTATGCACACTTTCTCTTTTGCATCCTTGTATATATAGATAGATATGAAAAAAAGCATAATTGTACGAAAATTGTCGCACACTAATTCAATAGGCGTCACATAAAACACTGATGTACAGTAAAAAGAGCTGGTATTGAAAATTTTTGAAGTATATTAAACCGAGAAGCTATGTTTATCATACCAAAGCCCTTACGTTGTTTTACATTCGTATAATTATTTGAGGGTGCAATTGGATGTGATTGAAACCATTTTTCTGACTCTTTCACTTTGTATATTGAATTCAGTTTCAGATTTATGATCAATGAGAGCCTTGTCTATTGCTCCTCGTTGTGTATTTTTATCTAAATACATAGATAGAGAAAGTTAAAATAACAAAAAAAATAACGGGAACTCTATACATTCCTTGAATTTTATATGAATTTTCAGCCTAGTAATGCTCTGGAAGGCATTATTTCTCCTTCATATATTTAGATTGAAAGCAAGAGTATTACTTTTCGCTCTACAAAATATATAAGTATGATAAGTACTTAGACACATTTTCAGAAAATCATTTTGAAATCAAGAGGATTATTTTGTTTTTACAAAAGGTATGAAAACAATCTACTCATACGCAAGTGTTCAAATATGTCGCGTCCAGTTACAGAAATACACAACAATATAGACATATAAGTATGTGTTGAAGTAAAAATGCAAGAAACCCACATCAGAGGATAAGTATGTGCGTTTGTATACACACAAATATATATATACATATATATATATATCTATATATATGTGGGTATATGTATATAAGGAATAACTTTTTTTATAAAACATTTTAATTTTATAATTTGTGAAACTATTTTTCCTTTTTGACACAAAAATAACAAATAGTTGACACTTGTGAGCTAGGTTGAACCACCTTTTTTTCGTACATATACATGTAGCTATATATTTATAGCATGAGCATCTGCAGCAACAGTTGCCAAGTAAAATCTGTATTCTAGTGAAGAAAACAACGGATCTCTAGTGATACGAACAACGCCCAGAAATTTCTTGTCGAGACTTCCTTTCCTTACGCTTGGATAGACTTATTATATGCTTGTATAGACGTCTTTGTGAACTTCATACTTTCCATGGGTGCCTATCTGGGCGTGGCTCGTGTTTTCCACTCGATTGTTGGTTTTGTATTTGCAACTTTGTGGACAGAACGACGCAAATTCCTTATCGAATAAGGCAGGCAAAAAATGCGAAAGGATAGGAATAGTAAGCAAAATGGTGGGATTTTCATGTTTTAATGAATCAGGGATAGAAGGATGATCACCATGAATGGAGTCTCTCGCATCAGATTTCGGTAAACTGGCGCTTTCTGTGCTAGGCGAGTCACAACGCGGAGATGACGGGTGATCGTCCTTAACGGGCCCACATATGTTAGCAAGTCCTAATTCTTTGTCCACATCATTGGTAATTGTCTCCTGGATCTTGAGGACCTGACCAACGATTGACATAACTGCCTTAGAATCACTTTCGGAGAGTCGGGGATTCGTAAGACGCATAAGTGAAAGCCCTTTGCGCTGAAGTAAGCGCGCGCGTTGTCGCACAGTTGACATCCCTGGCGCACCACCCCATTTCATTCCGCTGGACGCACAGGTCGAGGGCATATATATTGTTTCCATTCGACAGTTTCGCTGGCTGGTTGCTTGATTCTCAGGAACAAACCGCCTCTTTTGTCGCTCTATTCGCCCGTCCATTTGGAAATAAATCATAAAAGGAAATAGGATGAGTCTGAAAAATAAAGGACCTCCTCTCAGAAAACTGAAAGACTCCAAGAAAATTGCTTCCCTTACAGGCTTGATATTTTCCTTGCGTTCTTACTTAGCCTTAATAGGCCTTGTAAGGGTGAAGGGTCTCGGAGCTGAGTCAATAAACACAACTACCACTGAAGCAAAAGAATTTTTCTTGTAAAGACGGTTTTAATATTATTCAATTGTATGCACAAAGAGAGAGGGGAGAATGAATAAAAAAATATATAGTTATATCTATAGATATAGTGCGTGTGTATAATACCTTGAATGCACTTGAAACTTGTATTTTTTTTTTTGACAAAACACTGAGGGAAATACAGGCACCCTAAAACTTAATTTATATTGTGTGTATTTTTCTTCCTTCGCTAAGTTTCGAAGAAAACTATCAAACAATATTAAAAAATGAACGTGAATAAGATTTGAGTAAGAAATAAAAATCACGTATGAGATTACTAATAGAATCAAAGAGCGAGCGGTATAGAAACATGGTTAAAGGCTTTCTATTTTAATTGGTGAGTCATACTTCTTATTTCACCTTTTCCATATGGTTTAGAATACACTATATCCTTTTTTCTTTACCACTATTCGAATGCTTTGCTAATCTCAGTAAGTTTCTTTTTTAAAATCCAAAAACATTGGACAAGTGCAATATCTGCGCTGGATATGAATCCAGTCTCAGAAGCCTTTTGCACGCACTCTACAGCAGAGGCCTCCGCTGAAGGCGTCGCGAACGTCCCGACACCGACTTTTGTCATTGCATTCAGCACATTCTTTTCCACTTCCTCAGCACGCTGCTGTTTAGAAAGACTCTCATTGTACTGATGCCGGCGTTGCGTCATGAGCTTCGCTGTTGCCGACTCCTTGTTCTGAAGAGCACTGCGGGAGTCCTGTGCTTGGGCACTGAAGGCTTTCGCCCCGTCGATCGAAAGTTTGGCATGAATTTGAGTTTCCGTAACGTTTGTGGCCTGCCCACCCGGCCCACTGGCGCGCGCGGTCTCATACTCTACTGTGATGCGATTCCGGTTCTCCACCAACGTCGTCGAAACGTACGGCGCGACAACTGCTACGGTGTACGGCAGAGCCGCAAAGTGGGGAAGAATTGACCGACTCGAACCACCAATGCAATCGCTACCCGTTAGATTCCTAATCGAGCTGCTACTATTATTATTGCTACTACTACCATTTCTAAATGTCGATAATGACCAGAGGGCGAATGCATACGCGTAGGGTCCCAGGGACGTTGTCAGTGGTGCCGCGTCCGCTTGTGCAACTAATGCCCACCATCCATCTCGGTTCGCCATGGGGGACATGACAAAGCCCAGGCTACGCACAGTGTCCTTCAGCGACTCCACATCGCCCTCTACCGCCATTACAGCGTCGTAATTATAGTGAGGTATGCGAGAACTAAAAAAACGCTTTATCACCGCCACGTAAGCTTTGGCTGCAGCGCCGTTGTTGCTCTCCATTGCAGTCGTCCAGACGTCTTGCTGAAGCTTCATATAGTTGGCCTGGAGGTCATCGAAGGCCTCCTCGGCAATACCCTTCAGTGGATCACAAGTCGAATCACAGAACCGGGCGACGTCGCTACAGACAATGGAGAAGCCTAACAACGGATCGCGCCGCCGCATGCGCTCCATTTTGCGCTGAAGCGAATGCAGCGCCTCTTCCTTAGAGTGCAGCCGTCGTTGCAAGTCCGCATAGGACGGGCTTCCAGATGAGGTAGCAGAAGCTTTTATTACGCTTAGTTCCTCTGAAAGACGGCGATTCTGCGCAGTCAAGGACTTGACCTGCGAGGCTGCCTCGTTTAAATTCATGCATTCTGAGTTTATGAGGATGACTTCATGCTCCGCACGTTTTAGTTTAGCATGCACTCTGTTCAGTGACGAAGCAAGCTCCTCTTTTTCTTTTGACTCTGACTCTAGTTTGACCTTGGTTTTGTTGTAAAGTTCACGATAATGATTTTTTTTCTCACGAATAGAGCGGAGCTCCTCAAATAAGGCCTCAATTTCCGGTCCGAGATTGACTTTCCTCAACTCATCCAGCGTCACCCCCCCACTCCCGCTACTCGCGGCAGGGGAGGGCTTCAAAATGGTACCACGCCGCTGGCCATCTGCATGCGTAGCAAACTGACCCTGCACTGAGTTTTCACCACCCACTGAAGACGAAATACCACCAGGTGTGAGGTTGCCCTTACCATCTAGCGACTGTTGCTTAAGCAATGCCTCCACCGTCTGGACACCTTGTTCGGCTATTTTTCGAAAGCCTGGGATCTTGCCCATTTTTTTTTGGAATTCAAGCGCTTGATTCATGAGCTGTTTCTGACTTTCAGGAGGCTGGCTGTTGAATAAGTCCTGTATGGCACGAAACTTTTCTGGACTAATCCCTGGAGGGAACTCATTCTTTGGCTTACCACTCGTGCGGTTACTATCGCGAGGCTCTTCCTCCCCCGTTTGACCAGAGCCCATTGCTTTTGACAATCTGGAGAAACTATCGAGCAATCCATGGCGCCTGGGGGACAGTTGAGACTGATAGAATAGTGTACAATTGCTGTGCCCATAAAGGCCGCTAGCCCTGCGACGAAGCATATCTTCTCCTGAACTACCTTTTATTTGAGTTTACTTTTTTTCAGCCCTTCAAATCACCTCCCCTTCAGCTGTGCGAAAATAAGTAGAAAAAAATACGCATTCCTCATAGAGACTCTTGTTTCGTTTTCGATCACAGCTGATATTCTTTAGAGGACAGCTTTCCCGTTTATTCCATTATACCCACCGGCTAATATGCAAACATGCAGATACAATACACCATTATACAGCTTTTAGTGTGCCTAACTCCCTTCAGAACAATCCGCAACCCTCATGAAGCTTCCGTGATATAGCTGTTGGAAATTGCTTTCCTCCAGTGCTTTAAACCCACAGATATCATGGCGCAGCAAAATACTTACACCACTTTCGTCGTTGTGAATTATTACTCCGTCTTGAGATCGTTTCTCTTCACGAAAGGAAGTGATCAACTCATAGCTTGCGTTGTACTCTGACCATATGTTGGAGTGCTTCGCTTTGCGAAATATCCCCTTATCATGTTTCCATACAGTCATTGCGTCCTTGGCTACACAGCGATTGGCAAGAACCGTACTCGCCGATATCATAATTATCAAAAAGATGAGTAATCCATGAATAGTTCCTTGAAAAGTCAATCTGGTAGACATCTTGAATAAGATTCCTTTGGAAGAAAATAGAACCCTCAACAGAATCCTTCTCAAAGGAAATGATCAAGAGAGAAAGTAAAGATGAATAAATGAAAGCGTCTAACATAAATAAAGTTTAATGTTCCTTAAGAAGTCGTCTTTTCGATAATTTTTTTGAATTCATTTGCCCAGTGCGTTAAGAAGTTTGCATACATCTGTATGCAGGAGAAAAGTACACCAACAACCATCAGGGGGAGGGATGGCTAAAAACAGGCAAAAGGTAGTGTTTTATTATCTATTAGAAGGAGAGAAATATCGGGCATCTTCTGTTTTTTTCTTCTTACGAACCCACACTCGACAAAAAAAATAATAATAATTGTTTAGTTCATCCCTGTTTCATTATTCTATTTGAGAAAACACGCACGTAAAAGTGTAGATCTATTGATTTCGGTCAAGGGGCATCAGCAATACATATATATATGTTAATATAGCTAAACAGCGAATTTCAAAACAACAGAAGCCAAATGCTTCTCTCCCCTTCCTCTGTAATATGAGCATTGATGAATCAAGAGCAACTTATAAAATAGTATAGTGTTCCTCTATTTTATTTCAGTATTTTCTTTGTTTACGCATTCATCGCTGAAACGGACACTTTTTCGATGGGGAGGGTGCCTTCTGATATCTTCATTCATGCTCTCTTCAGGGTCAACTCCATGAGATGCATCATCATGTGGCAAGTCGGTAGCACACTCAAGCCATGAGGAACGCTTTGTATTGACCACCGATATGTTTACATTATTTTGATTGCTGAGCTTAGTAACCTCACCCTGAGTGTCGTTCCTCTTGGGAGGACTACCATGACTAGTAGTGTTAACCTTATGCGTTGATTTTGGACGTCCACCTTCTTCTTGACTCAGCCGATGAGATCTCCGCCGCATCTGTTTCGCGAGCAGCATGTCGCGCACGACACGCTCAAAGCGACGGGGCATAAAGGCAAACGTGGCCGTCACGTCCTTTACCTTACACACCCCCACGAGCTGGTGGGCCATCTCAAACATGTTGTTGCGCAACGAGATGATTATGAACTGGGCGTCGGTGGCCTGGCGCAGCACGTAGTTTGATACGATGGAGACGTTCCTAAAATCAAGTGCGGCATCGATTTCATCCATGACATAAATCGGTGTGGGTTTGATATGGTGGAGAGCAAAAATCAGCGCGAGGCTTGAGAGGGTTTTCTCACCACCGGATAGATTTGAGATCTGCTTCCAGGACTTCTTGGGGGGCCTCACAACGAACAAAATACCTGCGAAGGGGTCGTTAACATCCATAAGTTCCATATCTGCATCGCCACCGTGGGTAAGGTACTGGTACACCTCCTTCAACTTCTTTCGAATATTCTCAAAAACTTCCATAAAGGCCTTGCGGCGGACATGTTTTAGCTCATTTAGCTGCCCTTCGAGCTCGTCTGAGGTGTGCTTTTTTGCCTCATACACAGCCAGAGCTTCCCGATGGGCTACATCGCGTTCCCGCCACAGGGCCACAGCACGAAAGTCAATCTCACTGTGAAGACGCTTCGTTTCCTCACTTAACGTCTTAGCAAGATGCACAGATCGCTCGTAGTCGCAGCGATCAAGCTCTTCAGGTTGGAGCCGGAAGGACATTCTCTTCACTTGCTCCATAGTGATATGGGATGCGCCTGATTCCATACTCACAGTGGCTGCCTCATTATTCTGTCTACTGTCGTCGTCATTTTCGTCAGCATCTCCTCGATTGGTGTGCCTTCGCCTCCAGGAGTGCTTTTTTTTGGAAAAAGAAGCTCGTCGATTATCATCACCTTCCTCATCTTGCTCTTCGTTGGACATTGTATCGCCGTCATCAGGACTGTTTTCGTCCCCAACACCCTCCAGCTGCAAGGTCTCAATTCCATAAAGCTCGGCGTTCTCTTTGATTTTTTCCTCACAGCCTTCGATTTTCTGTGCAAATTTCGCTAGTTCCTGGAGAGCGTCTGCCATCTTTGCGGACTGCGTCCTCCGGTACCTCTTTTCATCCTCCAACTTGGCCTGAGCTTCGGAAAGGGCGCTGTTCAACTCCAACATTGCGGCCTTGGCGTTGTTGCTGGAAGCCTGGGCTTTAGCCAAAGCTTCTTCGGCGGTATGGAGTTGGTCCTCGAGCTCCTTCACCTGCACCGTGCATTGTGCGATCTTTTCCTTACTTCCACTTTCGTCTTCAGCTTTAAGCTCCATGAGACGTTTTTCACGTTCCAGTATGTCACGTTGTACTCGTTCTTGCTTTGCGCGGAGTTTTTGTATTCGCCGGCGGCACTCTCGAAGCGCCACCTCCTCGGCTTCTTGAGTATCTCGAACCTTCTTTAATGTCTCTGTTAAATCTCTGAAGGTCTCGCCACCCGCTTCTTCGATCCTCGCTTCCAGTGCCTCGATGTCGTGATGATGCTCCTCACGGGTTTGCTTCGCCCGGAGGAGCCGTTTCTGACACGCATCAACAGCGTCCTGAAGGGTCAAATGCTTTTCCTTCTCTTCTTCACATACGCGACTGTACTCCTGCTTAAGTGTCTGGATACGCGCCAGCTCGTGGTCCATGGTAACAGATAGGGTGCGTTGCTCAGCCTTCAGACGACGCACCTGCTCTGGCGACAGCCGAGTTTGGGTTTCACGCAGTTGATGCAGGCGAAGCTGCGCCGCACGTTCTTCCTCAGCCGCCTGGACCAGCTCTTGTTGAAGCCGCTGCAGTTCCTCCTTAACGGCGAGCTTGTCTTGCGGTGAGCGAGCGGCCTTTAGCTTCGCACCGCGCGGAGCATTACCACCACCGGTAATAACACCAGACGGCTCCACCAGCTCCCCTTTAAGCGTAACAACGCGAAATCGTCGCGATGGCTGCGAATTATGACCGCCCACACGCTGATTACTGTGGAAGGCGGTCTCACGTGCCTCTGCAAGCGTCGATACCACCATGGTATCCCGCACAGCCTGATAGAAAACGGGCCTAAACTTCTCATTTGTTGGTTTGATCAGGTCAAAAAGTCGCTTAGCCTTGGGATTAGGTTGGGCAAACGGTCGCTGCATCCGTTCCCCAACCTCACGTGTCACCTCGCTAATCACCATCATGGTGGCACGGCCCATGTTGTTTCTTTTAAGTGCCTCCAGCGCTGCAGTTGCCGTGGCGCGGTCCTCTACAACGTGAAAGCCCCAGGCGTTGCTGGCAACACCGGCGGCAACGTCGTAGGCATCATCGATGCGACCCAACTGGCGCAGAGTGCCGTAGTAGCCTTTGAGGTTCCGCTGAGAAAGCAAGAATTCCATTGCCCGGTCATCCGCCTCGCCCTCACGGTATGCGTTCTTCAACTCGCTAATGAGGCTATTGATGGCGTATTTGCGTTGAGTGGACTCAGTCAACAGGTCCTGCATTCTTAGAAGCTCGTCCCTGTGCTCACTGCCCTCGGCTTCACGAACAATGCGATTCAGTTCTTCGATTCGGACACTGTGTTGTGAAGCGGACTGTTCAGTTTGCTGCAGTTGTTGGAGCTTTTCATGCTTCAGTTCGTGCAGAGCATTTAAACGCTGCTGAGCGGAGTTGAGTTGCTCAGTCGCTTCGGTTACGGCCCGGTCGTAGGGCGCGAAGAGTTTCTTCTTTTCATCGAGTTCCTGACGTAGTGGTCGTAGCTGGGGCAACAGTTTAAGTGAAAGTTCATCGTGTGAGGTCTGGAGCCTACTCACATCTTGAATAGCCTCATCATAGTTTTGCTGATGTATAGCAGCCTCACGTTCCGCGTCTTGCTGAAGCATCTGCGCTTCCTGCACGTCATTTTTGAACTTTTCTATCTGTTCAACCACTTTGAGGTGTGTTCGTTCCTGGTCCTGCGCACTGGACTTGAGTTTCTCAAGAAGAACTTCACAATTTTGTTTCTTCGTTCGGACTGCGTCCCTCTCCTTGAGGACCTCCGTTACCTCTTTCTTGCGTTGCGAAATCTCTTCCTCCGCCTTCAGTTTGGCCTCACGTCGAGCGTCGAGGTCTTCTTGCAAAGTACCAATACGGGAATCGATCTCCTCTAGTAAACGACGTGGTTCAGCTAGTCGTTCTTCAATTCCACGCATACGAAGCTGACACATTACAATCAGGGTCTTCTGCAACTGGTTATCCTTAATAACGAAGGCCATAGTTGAGTTCTTAGCATCGTCCAGGGCCTCGCGCTCAGCCCTGAGCTTGTGTTCCCTGTCAAGGGCGTCCAGACGCTCTAGCTGCGCAGCTTCAGCTGACCTCGTCGCCGCTGAAATGCGCTCAACATAATCACTAGTTCCGATGAGATCGTCTAGATACTCCAATAAACCCTCCTCGCCTTCTTTCTCTGCTTTTGGCTTCATCAGTGCAATTTGTTCTACTTCTCCTTGCAGGATTAGGAACCGATTGTGCTCGAGATCAACCCCATGCTGTATCAAGCACTCCATGACACTTTTCTGTGTCTGACGGACACCGTCAATATAATACTGTGAGACGCCGCTTCGAAAGACCTCGCGCGTAATCCGAAGCTCGCTATTTTTAACCTCCTCGCGTTGGGTCGGGTCTGTGGCCTCCTCAAGCGTCTCCTTCACGCGAACAAAGCACACAGTGACCGAGGCATAACTGACATCTGGGTGTGCGGCAGAGTTATGAATTACTTCTGATAGTTTTTCCAGACGAATTTTTCGTGCACTTCGGCCAAAAACAAACAACATCGAGTCGATGACATTGGACTTACCAGAACCGTTAGGTCCAATCACGGCACTGAACGTCTTGTGGAATGGTCCAATGCGGTGTTGGCCATAGTAAGACTTGAAATTCTCAACATCTATGTGAGAGATAACGAGACGAGTGCGCGAAGCCGACTCTTTATGAGAAGCGGGAGTAGATGATTGGAGTGAAGCATTTTCACCTTGTTCATTTTTATCAAGCCCCATTTCTACCTCACCCGCTCGGTGATCATCATCGTCACCTTCATCTTCTTCACTCAGTAAACGATGCATAGGAACACTGATGCATGAGTTTCCCTCACACCCAAATATACGATGGTCATCTTCGACGTGAGGGTCGTTAAGGAGAATCCCATCCGAGCAGCACTCAGACATATTCTGTTCTTCAGCAGCGGCAGTGGCTTCAAGGGAGTCACACGCACCATTTTCGTGTTCATCTGACAGTGCCACTCTTTTTTCATCAAGTAGCATCTCATTGTCAGAGCAGTCACAATTACCACTTTCTCCTGTAGTGGTAGATTCTCGCTTGATACGGACATTACGCTTATCCAAGGCCGTAGTCGACCTTTTCCGTAAATCTTGTGACATCTTATCACTCTACCTCTATATTAAGTCTATTGTAGGCGTATAAATATTTTCTAGTTATTAAATAAGAATTTTCGTTGAAACAAGTAGTTTCTAAAGCAAGATAAAAGTAAAGGATAAAAATATATAAATATGTAAAGAAACAAAAAGCAACAACTAAAAATGATGAATATAAATAAAATAATTAAGTTAGAGAAGAGAAATAATCAACATACAGAAAGACAAACACATAGTAAAATTTATTGAAGAAAAGAAGTAACACGACAAACACAT